CCCGCCTATCTGGTCAAAACGACCACTCTAGGCAGTTTAAGTTTAGTTTTGCACACCTGCTTTGATTTGGCAGCTGCTATTATTATATTCTCTTTTTCCTCACAAACCATGTAAAGGTGGCACACATCTAAAATATAAGTATAAAGCTTCTCCACTCTTTTTGCAAGGATACCGCTAAGAAGAGAGCTGGAGTTTTCAACGTTTTTTTCTTTCAACGAAGCAGCCAAGTTCATTTGCACTCCCTGCCCTTTTTACATTACAACAGACAATTAGCAAAGCCTCTGAAGAAATATCTACACGAAGTCTGCACTTACCTGACCCTTCTCAAAATATTCACATGACTTTGAATTCCTAAGTCTTCTTTTCGAAGAGTCTCCATTCTCCCCAAATATTGTAATAAAGAGGTCTGCATCTGTACCTGATGCAGGTAATGTTCCTGCATGGATGCTGACCAAGTAAATAATCTCTGTAGGAAAAGATTAGATATGGAAAAAGGAATCTGTACAAGGTGGGACATAAAAATATCAACCAAGTAGTCCCATATGCTTCTTCCTCCATAATGGGAAGTGTATTATGCACTACCATAGTTCTGAGCTTTATAATGGTAGATTACCAAACAACATGGAATTATATATTATATTTCACAAGTGTTTAATATGGTGCATAGTCACTGAAGCTGATTTAATATTGTTAAATTTGTTAGGATTTAGACAGAAGGGTTTGTCTAGCTGCTCTCACCTCCAGTGCCTCTCATATTTCCAGAATTACACACGTTGGAAGCAATAATTGTATTCCTTCCAAACAGCACCATTTCACTCACATTTCAACATTAAAGATTATTTCATTCACATTCTTACTCAAATTTCAGACAGATAGCAGTCAGTATCGAAGTGCTGAATTCTACATGTTGCCATTGTTCTTCAAAGATTCATTCTGTCAGACTGCCTAGAGAAACATGCATTACAGGACTCTGCGCTGTCATCCAAATATCATACTAGATGATGATTACTGTCTGTAGTGAATCATATTAATACAGATCTATGTGAAGAGTGGAGTTGGTTCTTCATACCATTTTAATTGGTAGTGGCAGCAATTATCTAACTGGCAGACTCAAAGGAAAAGGAATGCTTGCTGGAGTTTTGCTGTTATTATGGTCTCTGTGTCAGCAACACATTCTTTAATAGGAAGCTTCAACACAGAGTTTCCTGGAGACATCCAAGATTGAAACATTGGCATCAGCTTGATTTGATCCTTACTAGATGTTCTAGCTTTCCTAGTATTAAAATCACACACAGTTACCAGAGTGCTGATTGCGATACTGATAACTCCCTGGTGTATAGTAGAGTCAAACTGCGAACACGAAAAAGGAAGGAAGACCACGTATTGACATCAGCAAGACGCGCAATCGAAGAAAAGTGGAGGAATTTGTCCAAGCACTTGAGGAAACCCTTTCAGGCCTGGCTGATGCAAATGCACCTGAATGATGGGAACATTTCAAAAACACCATCCTGTCCACATTTGGCAAGAAGATCAAAACAAAACAAAAAACAGCAGACTGGTTTGAAGCCTATTCGGAGGAGTTGATGCCAGCCATCGAGGATAAGAGGAGAACTCTGGCAGCATACAAAGCCTGTCCCAGTGAGTACAACTTGTAGGCTCTTTGACTTGCTTGTTCCAAAGTCCAACAGGCTGCCAGGAGATGTTCAAAAGATTATTGGCTTCAGCTCTGCTCTAAGATAGTCTTAGTCTCTTGAGACTGAAGGATGCCTAATCTTTGGCATGGCTGTGCTGAGTTCTCAGCGGATGAAGTGGGAAGTGAGGTTTTGGTAATCCTGGTTTACTGAGGAGTACATAATAGGAGCCCTTCCTGCTTTCAAGGTCTACTAAGGTAGCTATCAGCCTATCATTACACTCTAATCATTAGATAACGTCCAGCAATCTAATACATGACACTGGCTCCTGTAAACTAGATTCTGCTTCATGAGATAAGGAAAGGGGAGCACTGAATTCTTCTGCTTTCTGACATTTACTCTTTAAAACCCTCTCATGCTGCTGCTTCCTAGCCTCTGTTCTGGACTCATATTTTCTTTGCAAAACACATTTGATGAGGTCAGCTTTGTAAGATATGAACTCCCATCCAGAACCTAGTTAAGCAAGATCTTCCATGTTTACACTGATATGCCTGACTCCAGAAATCAACTGGAGTCAAAAACATTTGCCAGAGAATAGTACATATTTACTTTCATTATGATTATCGTAATCAAAATTATCATTTTGATTATGAGAATAAAAGTGAAAGTTGCCTAAATCAAAAACAAAAACAAATCCCCCCCCAATTCATCACATTTTTCAGTCTTGTTAAACCCCAGCTGAAACTCCAACATCTCTCACAAGTGCTTTAAACATGTCAAAAATAATAACAAATTATTTTTTTCTAGAGTAACATGTAATCCTTTCTGTCATGTTTGCTACAGTGATTATTTCTGAGAGGGACAGAACTACTTTCGCTTGCTTTATGTGTTGGCCACCTACCCTTAAGCGGTGCTTCATCTGGTCTAACTGCTGCCAGCTCTGTCACAGTCCCTGACCCATCTTCTTCAAAGAGCCATTGGTTTAAAGGGTGAAAGCCCAGCTCCTCTTTAGTATCCACGTCTTTCATCCGGAGCTGCAGGACAATGGGAAAAAGAATAAGTCGGGGCTTATTTCATATACATACATACATACATACATACATTGTTCTTTCAAATCTCCTCCTTTTTTTAGGAGCTCATGAAATAACATATTGCAAGCTTTGCTGGGTTCTGGTTGTCATCATTGTTTACCTTACTTTTTCCCTTTGCCTCTTTTTGCTAGCATTTGGTGTCTCTTAGACATCTCTCTAGATGTCTAAGTTGAGCAGGATAAACACAATGGCAAATCAGCTACCATGTGTTCTTGACTCACAAAGAGAGTATGGCTTAATAAGAAGTTGATGGCATATACCAAGATCCAGGTCTATAGAGCCTGTGTCCTGTACTGCAGAACCTGTTGTGCATGGCAGGAGAAGAAGCTGAACACTTTCCATATGTGTTGCCTCTGATGCATTTTTGGTATCATCTGGTAAGACAAAGTTCCAAATGGAGTAGTCCTAGAACAAGCTGGAATTTTTAGCATGTATACCTTACTGAAACAGCAACGTCTACATTGGCTTGGGCATGCAGTGAGATTGACTGATGGTCGGATTCCAAAAGATCTCCTGTATGGAGAATTAGTGCAGGGAAATTGCCCCAGAGGGAGACCACAGGTGCAATACAAGGATATCTGCAAGCGGGATCTGAAGGCCTTAGGAATGGACCTCAACTGATGGGAAACCTTGACATCTGAGCATTCAGCCTGGAGGCAGGCGGTGCATCACGGCCTCTCCCATTTTGAAGAGATACTTGTTCAGCAGGCCGAGGCAAAGAGGAAGTTCTGAAACCCACAAAATCAGGGAGCTGGACAGGGGACAGATTGTATTTGACTTCAGTGTGGAAAGGATTGTCACTCTTGTATTGGCCTTCTCAGCCATACTAGATCCTGTTCCAAGACCTCTAGTCAGAGACTGAAGGGTGCCTACATCCTGGTGTCTCTTATCATAAAATGATGGAGGCAGGGCTGAAGAGCCACATGACTTTTTGAATTATTTTATTCATAGCAGGAAAGTTCCAAAGAATGTCAATGCCTGAGGGCACTGCCTGAAGAATTCTACAGGATTCAGTTGTGGACCTCCTCCTATTCAGTTTGTATATGAAGATTGGAGAGAAACAGCTGCTCTTCCTGGATTTAGTAGTGTTCATAGAAGAATCAGGCTGAAACTACACAATCAAATACTGCAGGATTTACTCTGGTTATAAAACAGATGAATTGAATTTTTTTTCTGATCACCTGACACTAAGGCCAATTCAGATCAGTTCGGTCCTTTTCACCCCCAACATGGAGCTTTTTCTCTGATGTCAGAGATTTCTACTTTTTTTCAAGCTCAAATTATTTTTTAAAAAAACCCACTTCTCTCAACATGATCAGTTGGTTCCTTCTACAAAGATGTCTCTCTCAGTGTGTGTGTGTGTGTGTGTACCCCACTTCTCTCAACATGATCAGTTGTTTCCTTCTACAAAGGTGTCTCTGTGTGTGTGTGTGTGTGTGTGTCTCTCTCTCTCTCTGTGTGTGTCTGTTGTGTTGTGTTGTGGCAATGTAAGCAGTTGGGACATGATGTTTAGGGAGTACAAGAACACCATCCCCCACAATATGCCCCCCAAATGTTCTTGAATTTTTTTAAATAAATAAACCTAGAGTTAAGTCATTTGATACATTGATGCACTAGTTTTACCATTATATCATATCAGACACTATGCTACTGTCTGTCAGGTGACAACTTTATTAGACCAATAAAATCTTACAAGCAGACTAGCTTTTGAGTCCCACAGAACTCTTCATCAGACTGGCCATTGAAGAATTCTTGGGGGGGGGGGGGTTTTTAAAAAAAACCTCCAAATCTTGGTTAGAAGTTGAGGACAGACTATTATGAATAATGAATTTATGACGCTAAATCTTTGTGTGTAGCAGAGGCTTGACTGGTGAACATCTAATCTAATCATAGATTAGCTTGCTCATTTTTAAAATAAAATGGTTTTGCTGTAGACAGTTATTTTGTAAGAGAAAAAAGAAATAATACATATAACTTCTGATAAATGGCAGAAGGGTTACAGCATGGAATGCCACGACAGTTCTGTATGAACTTTGTATGTGAGGTCACTCCTTATGACTAGGCATTCATGGTTCAGACCATTCCTCTGGAAAAAAACTGGTTGTTCAAATAAACTACAGTGACCTCTCCTTATTTTCTTTCTATATATATTCATAGCCAGAACTCTGAAGAAAGCACAAGGCACAGGGCATTTCAGAGTTATTAAATCCTATACCTAATCTATTTATTTGATTTATATTCTATCTTTCTCTCAGGGCTATGTCTCAAGGTGGTTATTTAGTTAGTCTTGGGGAATATAGTGAGCTGCACTGCATTTCCGCTTATAGTAATAACATATAATTACAATGGTATTTGCATACTGTATATTCATTTAAATTAGCATATGCACATTCAATGTCCTTTTTTAGGTGAAGAACGTCTTCCTTTTTGATGTTCCTTGTCTTCCATGTTCTCCTTTTTGACAATGGAGCAGTGGCTACCCTAAACCCCTGCCCCATTCCCTCCCAAAATGACAAATCACACTCACAAAAGCCTCCGGGTTTGTTTATTTGTTATACATAAAAGCTTCTTCTCCCCCCCCTCCCCGCTGAAAAACAGATTTCAATGGGAAACTGTACTCTCCAGGACTTTTATCTGTGTATGATTTGACTTCTTTTTCTTTTTAGTGAACTCTCGGGGAGATTGGAAGGATAGAGAGAGGCAGGGGGCTAAGAGGTCTCACTTGGGTTCTGGGGGCACATGCGACTCACAGACCATGCTCACCACTGTTCTAAGAGCAATTAATAGACTCTTTGAACCTTAGATCTATTTAGAAGTCCTCTTCTCCCCTAAGTTCTGCCATTAACACTTGGTCTCATCATGGAACATTCTCTTACACAGTCTGTTCCTGTGATCTACTTGAACAGGAAAGGATAATGATAGGCCCAAATTCACTGCTAACTGGTAGCCTTTTCTTCCTGAAACTAGCCATGAGTCAAGCGCCATCTTCTGCATAAATGTTAAGATCCTTTTTCTGGAACACTCAGTAACCATAAATGAAAGCAATTTTGGCTTAGTAAGTCATCTTGCTTTTAAAAAAAGAATTTACTAAATTTGTTACCTGGGCTCTTTATCTATGAATAAGTAGCTTATGCAAGTCAAAAGTACAAAAATTAATAAAAGTAACCTACAAGACATTTTTCAAGCTCCCACGGTACTATATAAATAGAAAGCTTGTATTTTATAATACATGAGTATTGAAGTCCCAAGTATTAAGTGATAAAATTATGCAGGATAATGTACATTATATTATAATATATGTTACCTTGTAAAGTAAAAGTCCTTTATTCAGATCTGGGCTGGATAGCATAAAGGAAACCTTTGTTATGCTGCCAATATCACCAACATTCAGCTTTTGAAGAAAATAAAAAAAAATTAGCTGAATAATACTATATATATATAGTACATTCTAGTATATATGTACATTGTTTACTTCGCCTTAGCACCATTGAGATCTCCACCCTCATGTATCTGAGCAGGATATCTTTTTTTGCCAGAGCTACTGTAGAATCCACACAGAACTAAATTTACAAAGCAGGCACTGCACAACATTAGCCCTATTCAGACATGATAAAACCCGCTGCCATAAAAACACTTAAAGTGGAAGGCCTATCCACACTTGTTCCATCACAACGTTCTTCACAGTTTCAGGGTCAGGTCTGAAGAGGGAAATCGTCATGATTAGGTGTAGGCTGTAGGCACCAGCAACAACCCAGATTTTCAATGGCTTTTGCTCATGTCTATAGCATACATGTAAAGAGGAACTCCTCTCAAAGCCATGCTGAAATGTAAAGAATGCATCTATGCAGGGAGGGAGAACTAAGCATTCCCCTGTGTTCACAATGTTGGGGTCTACAATGCATGAACAGAGCTGTTGTCACCGAAAGAATTTAAATAATGTCCCCAACCTTTTGTTGTTTAGTCGTTTAGTTGTGTCCGACTCTTTGTGACCCCATGGACCAGAGCACGCCCCAACTTTTAGCCACTTACTATGTAGTGTTTTTTGAATAGGAAAAGAAAATCCTGGTACAAAACTGTCCCAACAGATCCATTGCTTTTTACTATTGTGGTACTATTGCATCCATACCAATGCAATGTTTAAAAAGAAAAAAAATGTCATATCATAATGCATAGAAACAGAAACGAATGTGGAGGGACACTGGAATTCTTGGTGTATATTTAATTGAACTCTAAGCACACTACCAACCCTCAGTACTCTGGAATTCCCACTGGACCAGAAAATATGCTGTAACTTCACTCAGGACAAATGATCACTTATCATATTCTTCCATATTGAAGAGCCATTGTTGGTTCTAGAAATTACCCAAAAAGACATGGCCTTTGAAAACATTTGAAATAACTGTTTTGAAAACTTAACACTCGGATTATGAATGATGGCTAATCTATGCATTTCTATGTGATAAATTTATAGAACTTTGATAATTAATGGTCTGCATGCCAATGTTAATGCCCATCTAAAATATTTTAATATATAATTATGTAACTGAAATTTGCATATGTATAGCTGAAGTCACATTCAAACTTGTTCATGGAAGTTAGACTTGATAGAGTGCTTAAAGGGTATTCAATGGTTTGCCATTCAAAATTCTCAATTCATTTTATTATGCCTTGGTTTTATTAATTGTTCATAAGGATAGCTGCCAACAAATTTAATATTTGTTTTATCTTTTTTGGAATTTGAAATTGTCTAAAGGATAGCATCAAAATCAGCTTTTTAGTATCAGTATGACAACTGGCAATCACAATCAGTGTGGTAGTTATAAAACAATCCCCGAAAATTCAGGCGGAATCAACAGAAATTAGATACCAGAAATGGTTCATCTTTAAAATTCTGAACTCTCTGTGGAAGAGATTTCCCGTTAGTTCCATAGATAACTGCATTCACATAAGGCATTTTTTCTGGAATGTGTGCACAATCCAACCACACTCTCCACTGCCCTTGGCTTTTAGCATCAAAATCTTTAACTGGGCCAGATGATGCAGTCATTTCTGAAAGAAGAATACAGCCAGCACAGCCAGTTAGAAAGGTTATTCAATTTCTTTTTAAAAAAGTATTATCTAGGTGTAGTCTGTATTTTATATTTCTACCTTCATGAACTGCCTTGGAGATGCCTCAATAGGTACCATCTAGTATTGGACAAACATCCTAGGAATACATGATTTATTATTTGAATTGCTACCTAAAGTTGCAGTCATCATAAACATATAGGGATGTGAGTCACCTCTCAGTTATCCTATGCAATCTCACAGTGGTTAGACTGAAACATACAAATGGGTCACTAGAGAATTTTGAACAGAGGAAATGAGGAGAGTTTAAGATCCATTGATTTCCAGTAACATGATACTTTTCTCTGGAGTATTTGATTTGTAATGCCTTAAAAGTGTTTTAGAAGTGATTTGTTAGTATCCCAACATATTTTTCTCTTTGTTCTTATGTGCCATCAAGTCACCTCCAATTTACGGAAACTGTATGAATGAGCAATCTCCAAAATGTCCTGTCCTCAACTGCTCTGTGGTTCCTTTAAGAAATCAGTCCATCTCATGTTTGATCTTCCTCTTTTCCTGCTGCCTTCCACTTTCCCCAGCATTATTAACTTTCCTAGGAAATCCTGCCTTCTCATGATGTGCCCAAAGTAGGGCAATCTCAGTTTCAACATTTTGGCCCCCAGAAAACGGATTTGATTTCATCTGGGACCCACTTGTTTATCCTTCTGGAAGTTCAGAGTATCTGCAAAGCTCTTCTCCAGCACTAGGTTTTTTAACCGTCCAGCTTTCACACCCATGTATGGTGATTGGAAATATAAGAATGTGGATGATCTTGATCTTAGTCACAAGTGACATACCCTTACACTTTATGATCTTTTCCAGTTCTTTTATTGCTGCCCATCCAAGTTTCAGTCTTCTTCTGATTTCTTGCCTGCAGTTTCCATTAGGATTGATGATTGAACCAAGTTATACAAAATCGTTAACTATTTCCATTTCTTCATTGTCAACACTAAAGTTGTATAGTTATTCTGTAGTCATGATTTTGATCTCCTTATATTCAACTGCAGTCCTCCTTTGACACTTTCTTCTTTCACTTTCACTAAAAGTCATTTCAAGTCATTGCTGCTTTCTGTTAATAAGATTGTGTTATCTGCATATCTTAAATTATTGATGTTTCTTTCACCAGTTTTCACTTCTCCTTCACCTGAATCTAGTCCAATTTTCCATACAACGTTCTGCAGTTTAACCCGCAGTGCCACCATGTCCCTCAATTTCACAATTAAGGTAAAGGTTCCCCTTGACAATTTTTTCCAGTCGTGTCCAACTCTAGGGGGTGGTGCTCATCTCCATTTCCAACCCACAGACAAACCAGAAGCTGGTAAAACATTAACATTTCAAATATACATTGCTTCAAAATGTTGTGCAATCAGTTTGCAAATAAAACCTGTGTTTATTTCCCAATGATCAATCAGAACACAAAAGCAACATAACCTCCAGAGTTGGTGAAACCTTGTGTTAAAGCACCAGAAAGTTCTGCTGGTACTGATTAAACTTTTTCTGTGTTTTTCTTTTCTTTGATGTGGGTAAACATGTTTAAGGGTGGCAGGGACTTATCTTTCAGCGTGTGTGTGTTTAGTCGTTTAGTCGTGTCCGACTCTTCGTGACCCCATGGACCAGAGCACGCCAGGCCCTCCTGTCTTCTACTGCCTCCCGGAGTTGTGTCAGGTTCATGTTGGTTGCTTCGCAGACACTGTCCAGCCATCTCATCCTCGGTCGTCCCCTTCTCCTCTTGCCATCACACTTTCCCAACATCAGGGTCTTTTCCAGGGAGTCTTTTCTTCTCATTAGATGGCCAAAGTACTGGAGCCTCAGCTTCAGGATCTGTCCTTCCAGTGAGCACTCAGGGTTCCTCTTTCAGCAGGGACATGCAAGTACTGTACAGTTAGAAACAGATCTCACCTTGCAGTGAAACTGCTACTTCTGTAAAATCTTTTTTTGAGTATTTACTGATCCAGTTATTGTGAACAAAGATGTATGTGGTAAAAGGATGAATTTCTTCTTTTATTACAATCTTTTCTAGGAACCAGTCATCTAAAAGACAAGAAAATGTAATTCAACCAGTTATAAATTTTATTATACTTCATCCAATTTTTCCACTAAGTAAACTGACTCAAGATAGCCAACAACGTGATGAAAAACAAATTCAATAGAAACATTAAAACCATTGCTAAAAAGAAACTGAACAACAAAACTATTAAAATAATTAACAGTGAACATTCACTGCTATAATTGTGATATGTCTAAAAGATTATAAAATCTTTGCACACTGAAAGTACTATAGAAATTTGTTACTTAATAATGCTATCAATGGTTTTCAGTATCATAAACTCCAATATCTTTCTGGGTCATTTGGTCAACATTGGCCTATGTGACTTAGAATTATATTAGATTCAATCTTTCATGGCAAAGTGTATTCAAATGAACACATTTAAGGTTGTACACGTAAGGTTGTTCCACCTTAGAACTTCACTTCTGAAGCTTGTGTTTTGTGCCAACAAGTTGCTTCTTATTTATGGCATCCCTGATAGGCATTTCAGTGTAAGTGAGATGTTAAAAGAGTAGTTTCAGCATTGTCATGCCTGCATGGGGATGTGAACCCAAGTCTTCTGTTCCCCATCTGGCATTGTATCCATCAAACCGCAGTTGCTCTCAGTCTACTTTAAATATTTTTTCTATCTATGTATTTTAACACCTAAGAAAAACTGCTATGAGAGGTCATCCAGAGATTTAAGAATATTAGAAATGTGATGGAGGAGGTCCAGATTGTTCTCTCACCATGGTCATCTAGATATCTATAGTAACTCCAAGCATTAACATGCAGAACAAAATCCATCTTCATGAGATAGTTATTAGCCACAGCAGACTAGTGGGCATGCAAGAGAACCAGGTTGCTCTCTAATCCCTAATCTGGTTTGCTATTCTCATATTTTGGGTGCTGAGTATAGGTGGAATAGTGGAGCCAGAATTTGTGGGGCTGGAACATCTGTAGTACTGATTATTAGGGATATTGTTTTCTTTGATCTCTTTGTCCCTTTTTGTTTTCTTGGTACAGCCCCTGAAGAAAGCCATCAACTGTTTGGGTCCAAACAAGTTAGGCAAGACTGAGGATCTTCACAGAGTTGGGCAAGTTTTAAACTGCAATACAGCTACATTTGTAACTTTATAAGAAAAAAAAAAAGAAGGACCAAGACAAAAAGAAAACAGTATCCTTAATAGTACTTTGGTCTTTCTTTCATAATGGGATCCATTGGATGTTATTAGTTCCTTTTTTGTATTTTCACCCCAACAAATTTATATTCCTTTCTCAGACAAAACCAAAGTTGGTACAATAAACATAGTTGCTAATAGGGACTATACTGTAGTTTCCACAATCTTCACACATTCTTAAACTATTTTGAATTTCTGGCTGTAGTTTAATCTTTCTCTAAGGTGATGGGACTTTTTGACTTGCATTTAATGAAACATCATCTCAGCCCACTACTTGCATGAAATGAAATAGGCTGTTGCCTAAGAAAACTCATATTGTTACAAGCCATCTCTCTTTGACTGCAAGTCCAAATTGGCTGTCTAGGTGCATGAGTTTCTGGTGTGAAAAGACTTTCTTTGATGTGTCTGCTTCAGAACTTCCATCTGCTGAAGATGTAAGTCACTATCGTGGGTAGCTTCTTTCTTAGTTAGTAAAGGTGCTGCAGAGAAAACTTCAAAAGATGTGATGTAATGTAATTGCATGTCCCCATTTCAGGATGCCTGCATTGCTGGTTACTATTTTGGACAGCAGCCTTTTTTTCTTCTTGCAGCTATAGATTAATAGCCACAACTCTGTTTGTTGCAATGTGTTCACTATATACAATATATATGTTTACTTTGCGAACAGTACCTTTGTTCAAACTTTTAAACCCTACAAGTACTTGGTTCAACTTCCCAAGATGAACTGCTTTGATTTTGAAAACATCCACCTGTAATTTGGAAAAAAAAGCATTATTGGTGGTTTAGGGTTTTAATATCCAGGAGGAATAGTAACTATATGTAAACATTCAAAAACTTAACTTGGAAATTTGTCTAAATATACATGAACATCTCAGCATAAGATATAGTTTCCTGTAAGACAGCATTAAAAAGATGTGCACAATAGATAATATTTTAGATCTATTACATCTATTCCTATCCAATTTGTTTTGTTCCTTATTCATACCCACTGCTAGAATGCAGCTCTAAGACTTTTCTCATGTTGGAATTCATCCCATTGAAAGGGTCTTTGTTTTAAATAAATGACTAGTAGGAATTTGCAGCAAATATTAGAAAATCATATGGATTAAAAGTGCATTAATTCCTTAAGTGGTTTAAAGCTCTAGTTAGCTACTTCACTAAAGCATATGTTCTAGAATGAAATACATAAAATCAGATAATCTATTACTTTGATCTTGCAATGTGATCTTGATATATATATTTTTTTTCTGAAGCATTTCACATTGGATTGGTCATTATTTGGGTACTGTACTCTGTTACAGGAAAGCAAATGTTCCTGACCCAGGAAAGGAAATATAGTCCTTTACATATTTGCTTCTTCTCCACGTACAAATCTTTTCTATACTATTTGAAGGGCGAAAACCACCCTTTTCAAGTAGAAATTTTTCTGTTGAGTTTCATGCAAAGTTGCATTTATATTTTTGCTCTGTTTTATTATATCTGGAAAAGATATGGGCTTGGAATCTGTCAGTCTTAACTGAGTAGACCAACTGAATCAATGGAACTCACATTATTTCTGACTTTACCAAGTTTCCATAGATTAAGTAAATTTGCCCTGGTTGGGATTAAGAGTTGGATTCAAGTCATTGTATTTTATTGCTCTTAAGTACTGTCAGCCATCCTGCATTGTGTCTAAATTATGGGTGATAGGAGTATTTGGCCAAGAGAGCTGAAATAACACAACAATTAATCACAAATATACTTTATGATTTACAAAATATATGTGAAAGCTCTTGGCTAGAGATGGGGGCTTCATATTCATATATGATTATGAAGACCACATTTGAACTCACAAGCACATTTCAACATGTCAATCAGTAATCTGGCCTTTCTCATCAGGTTACTCATAAACATGTCCAAAACCAGGCTGCAGAAAAAAAGATGACATGTCATAGAAATCTTCCCCCTACTGATGAGTTCTCACTTGGACTTTTCATTTATGCCATTTGGGAGGCTTTGCAAGGAAGCAGGAATCCTAACAGAGTCTAGTTATTAGGGACAACTATGTTATTTCCCTTCTGCTGACATAACCACACAACCAGATTCTGGGCATGTTCATCTACTAGTCTTTTAGCTATCAGTTTGTTGAAGAATAGAGACCAGGTAGATACTAATCAATTACCTTTAAATCCCATTGCTCTCAGTTTATCAAGGAGAATTAGTAACTTTTTAGCACTCTCTTAATCAACCCAGTGAGGCTAATAAGAATTTAATTTGCCTCAATAATCTATTTAGAACTCATGGCAAAGCTCACAGGAATTTCTAGGCATATGAGATGTTTTGGAATGGTTTATCATTGCTACCTCCCAATTTGTTTCCATTTCCTAGTGGGGAACTGAACTCAGGTCTCCTCAGACCTAGTCTGACATTCTTACCTATTACACCACACAGGTTTTCACAGGCCAATGTGACACCATACAGTTAGGGTACTACTATACAATACTATACAATACAATTGTACTGTAGGATATATGAGTATAGTAATACATTACTATATGATTTTTGAAGTAAATATCCTGGCCTAAATCTAATTACCAGTCTCAACTACAGTACTCCTACTAATTCGCTTCTTTAATGGTGAGTCAACATTAGGCATATCTCATTGTTTCAATGGATCTACTGTGTTTGGGGCTATCAGTTGGATTCAGTCCTTTATGTACCAGATGAAATATAGTATTACAACATATGCAAATACTATTGTCTTCTTTCTTTCTTTCTTTCTTTCTTTCTTTCTTTCTTTCTTTCTTTCTTTCTTTCTTTCTTTCTTTCTTTCTTTACCTTTCCTTTGCCAAATGTAACTGGGCCTCTTTTATTAAGGCATCGTTTCCCGGAGTCACCTCTGTCCCCTTGAATACATAGGTAAGCATTTCCACTGGCATCAGCTTTCTTTTTGTCTCCAGTATAAATACAGATTGAGTATTCCACAACTGAAGTAAATAAAAGAAATATATATCACTGTAATGAGAAAAACCTTGAGACTGTTTGTCACTGGTTATAAAGTAAGATTTCATACCACTCTGCTCAGTTGTTATACAGTTTTATGGATAAGCTACCTCATATAGATATATATATTTATTAACTAAGGAAGAGACAAATCACATTTAAAGATGTGCTACCATACACTGTTGTTCTGGAGGTTATTCTCATATCTGTATAAAAAGGGGTTTTTGCCATAATTACTTCACTGACCAAGTTGTGGCATTTTTAGTCAACCCTTTGAAATTGTTGCCAGAAAAGAACTGTAGTGAAAGACTGCCTGTTCCCAGCCCTTCTAACATACATGAGGCAGAGAAAATGGTGGGTGAAGAGAGATCTTTTATGAAACCCATGTATAATCTCAGCTAACTATATTTTGCCATGTCAGATATAAATCCTAAAATGTATTCTTTGAGAAACTTGCTCATATACTACTGAGTCATAGAGAACAGATTTTTGAATGTACAGTACAGTATATATTAAATGTATATGCTGATACAGTTCAAAAGTAGCAGCAGTATTTGTAGTTGTTATATTCTTCCATAGCTAAAACTCAATGCAACACACATAGGGTTCTCAAGAATCTTGCATCCAAACACATGCAGAGCTTCCACAAGTTGGGTATATTATATCAGGCCATGTTCTGAAGAGGGAAAAAACATTTCCCACTAATTGAGATGTATAGGAATTTCTCTCTTCAAGGATTATACCTCATCTCCAAACACAGCTTTTAGAAGTTGTCTTTTTGATGACAGTTCTCCAAAGCCTCCAGTAATTATTCAAATCTGTGTCACAAAATCAATTTGTAGAGAAAGTGTGACCTCCGTTTTCTGGCAGCAGTTTGCCAAAGGGAGGGAACTTGCCTGCCTCCCTGCCTTAGAAGGCTCCTACTGTTTGAACTGCAGCTGAGTACTATACTAGGCATTGAAGAACATACAGATCTGTAGCAGCTTAACCCTAGCTAAGTAGGTGAGGAGGGCCACTCCTGAGGAATAGCCATCTCCACCAGGTCAGCATTTTATACACTGAGCAAGCTGTCTTTCAGCTGCTGCTGATTCAGGATGGGGAGAGCTGCTCTTGTTCTGGTGCTTACATCACAAATGGGAATAGGGAGAGTTGCACCTTTAAAAGTTCAGGGGTGTGCAAAATGTATCAGTTGATTTTTGAAACTGCTACAGCTCCCTAGTATAGCTAGGTAAATACTACTGGATAGCTCAGTAGTTTAGGTTTTTGTCTGTGGAGCCAGATGGTGAGAGAGTGATGCCCCACTGTGGCTCCTTGACAGGGGCTGGTCCATAGGATCCCTTCCAGACTTGCAGTTCTAAGAATACACAGAAGCGGTTTACCATTCCGTTCTTCTGGGGGCAGCTCTGGGATTGTGCTGCCTACCCAAGGCCACATAGGGCGGCCCTTCTCCCAGGAGGCACAGTGGGGAATTAATCTCCCAGTCAGATGTCTAAACCACAGAACCTTCTAGCCAGCTCACTGACAGAAACTGTATTCTAAATGACAATGAGAAACATGTTTATTTTACATGCACATGCCTGTAATAAAATCTTGGGAATTTGGGGCTCAGAAATTAATATAAAAAATATTCTGCATTATGTTAGAAATGCAAAACATCATCTGCAGTTTTGCTCTGGAAGAACATGAAGGCCTAATCCTGACCTACCAAAAATTCCTGTCACTGATAAAAAAAAATTTGCAGCCATCAGACAGTAGCAAATATAACTCATTTTCCTTCCAAAACAAAATGCTACAACACCTATCCAGAACGAAAGTGTTACTCCTATTCTGTTAAGTTCTTTGTTAAACCAGGGCAGATACAACATCTTTCTCCTCATCATTCTGCAGTGATTTTACTGTCTGATTTAGACACCTCTGAATAGATACTACTGGCAGAAAGCTTTTACATAGGTGTCAGAAGGCAGGAAAATGATCATCTAACAGAGAATGTTAATGGACCATGCAAAAGCTAAAGGATACTTTCACCAACACCCTACTGCTTAGTACTCATACAAGAATTTGTCAATCTGAGTGCATATCAAGTGTCAGTGATCTGAATCCATCAACTCAAGTTCTAAACTCTGTAGCAACAGAAAACTCATTTGCTTCAGTGTCTATATGATAGTCTTAAGAATGGTTGATGCCTATTGTATTGCCTCTTAATTGTCCCTTTCTAGATTAAGTTCATCCAGCTCCATAAAACTTTCATCACAGGGCTTTGTCTCCTGAGCTCACTGTCATCTTCCTTGGACATGTTCTAATTTTTGAAGCCCTTCTTAAACTGTGATACCCACTGTACTTTAAATGATACTTGGTGTAGTGGATAGCCCAAACGTCACCTGTCCGTCACTGCAGAACCTTGATGGGAGAGCCAATAGAGAGACCAGAAGGCGGGGCCAGAGAGGAGTTTGAGGAGTCGGGAAAAAGGAGAGCGAGTGCTGGAAAGAGGGTTAGAAAGCTGGAGGCTTGGGAATTGGACCAGGATGGTCAGAGATAGATAGAGTTAAAAGAGTGATTTGAAAGAACCAAACCTTGTTTAATAAATGTGATTCCTTCCTGTGATTTATACTGCAGTTTCCAACTGATTATTAACCCCACCCTGTTCAATAAACTGATTGTGTTTGGCAGCATAAGTGTCCAGTACTTAATTGATGTTAAAGAAATAACATCTGGTGGCAGCGTGAAGAGGAGGAAGGCGCGCGAGCCGTTGTGAGGACAAAATAAGGCAGAGGCCACAAGGGTGAGTGCCACACTTGGCCAAATGAGAATAGAGCTGTACTATCACTTCTAGTGATCTAGATGATATGTCTGGTGATATAGCTTAGAACAGGGTAGATAGCAGGAGTCTGCCAGATGTTTTTGACCTATAACTCCCCTCAGTCCTGGCCAAACTAGGTAACTGTGAGGAATTTGGGAACTTGTGAACAAAAATGTAGAGGACTTCTGTTGCACATACTAGCCCCTCCCACCAAATCTCAGTCCTTCTAGCCATAAACATTTTATTGTTGAACTATGCTTTGTAGGAAACCCATTATTAGAAGAAATCCCTAAACTGCTGAAAGCATGTGATTGTCACAGCAGGAGGTTTTCTCACCTCATCTCCTTTGCAAATTAGCTTATTTTCTTTTGTGATTAATCTTTGGGAGCTAAATACAAACTCCATTCACCATTCCAATTACCCAGACAAGAAGTCTACCTAAACAATGTCTCTGCAGTGTAATTTTAATTGTAATAGAGGGTTATCTGTAACATATAGTTTGCCCCTCATATTTACCTTTACTAAAACCCCTTAGAAACTTCCATATATATACTATCATCAAGCCAGATGTCATTCAGCCTGCATCAGTTTTTTCTCTACCTAAATTCAGAGCCTTGCTTTTGTATCTATTGTGCCTCTTCAGTGAAAGAAAGATGGGCTATAAATAAAGTAAATAAATAAATTGAAATTCATTTTGTTAGTTTTTCTTCAATTTTTGGTAAAACTGATAAGCATCTTATGTCCACCATTATGCACATAATTATTAAAGAAGGAGGAAGAGGGCAGGAACAGGTTATTGATAAAGGTGGGGAAGGAGTTTTAGGTCAATGTTAAAAACACATATTTTGTGTGTTGAAGTTCCCTGGCATTGCCAAATAAAATTGATGGGGCCATATGAAAGCCTGGAGAATTCATGAAAATCAGCACCAGCAATTCTTAGTTACAGTAACTGATAGCTTAACTCAGGATAAAGCAGCTTCCCATGTTTTTATGTTTGTGTATTGAACAATGTTTGCTGTGGAATTCAATCCCAGTGGGTCTTGGGCAAATGCATACATATTCTGAATTTTAGGCAATCACTTCAAATGCATCTTTTTATACACAGCTTTTCCTGAAGGATAACTCAACTTTTTATCCTTGTTAATCATATGATGATTTAGTTCCATGTCATTTTGTAATTTGCAATTCATAATGAACTTTGTCTATATAAACATTGGTTCAAGGGCAGAAACCTGCAGCATCTCTTTGTCACTTCTCTCTAGAAGTGACCTGGAGTCCCTGATTGGTATCTTTTTATACAAACTATAATCTACCTAAGGTAAAGTATACATGCACTTAAAGTAACATCACTTACCCACATTTTATCACCTTGTCTAAAAATATATTTTGATGATCTTGCTGAAAGGTTCACTGAAATCACCTTAGAGGTTTGGGTGGGCTACAAGCACACCTAGTTCTCTGTGCTTTGCTTGTTTTCATATTTGAATGTTGTTGTGGGGGACAGACTGTGTCCCCCACAAACAAATATAATTTACTCCCAAAGGAGATCATACATTTACATTATAAGTTAATGGGAGGAAGAAAGCAACACAAAAATATTTGAGTCCAAATCTGGCAATGACATTGTTTGCAAAACACACACAGACAAAACTATTCTGGCTGCCGATTTTGGGAAAAGCACTCTCTGTAAATCAAGTAAATGTTACAACCAATTTGTTTATTGCTATCCTTTGCTGCCCAGTGTGATATAGTGGATAGAGCAGTGGACTAGGGCTCCAGAGACCAGTGCTTGAATTCCCTCTAGGCTATGGAAACTCACTGGGGAAGGGGAAGTATTTAAACTACTCCTTAAATTTCTCATTTACTTGAAAGCCGTATTAGGGTCATTATGAGCCAGTTCTGACTTATAACATAACTCATTAAGTATCCTTTGATGCAATCCCTGTTCTTTTTCAACAGGACTTGTATTCATACACATTCTCATTAGGCTGAACTCTTGGCAAACAGGAATATCTGATGTTTGTGCTGTCATGCAGGAGCCCTCCTATGCCAGCAAAGGAAGCATTCCCATTTTATTTATTAGGGGGAAATTAGGTAACATGAGGCCTGCTACTTCTGATTTTGTGCAGGCATGCTGGAGCATGCATTTAGGATGATTTTCATGCACAGAATATTAAAAGCCATTCT